ACCCACATGGTAGGAGGAGCAGACTGCATCACAGCTGTCATTTGATTTAGAATTATACTATCCACACACATGCACAAACACAAGAATATTGAATCAAATTTTTAACGAAATAAAAAGATACAAGATGGCTTCCCTAGTTTAGTACCTGGCATAGAGCACACAGTGACTATTCCTGCTTGACAAGGTAACAGCATTTCAACATTGTAGACCACAACTCTCCAGCATCGTTTTCCTTTCATTTTTTAATAATTTTCACTATGTGTTATGGGGGTTTCCTTATGCCTTTTCATTTGGGAAATTCTGTGTGGGCTTCAGTGGAGAATAAGGATGTATAAAATGGCAGTGTCTTTAAACAAAATAATTCTTTGGAAAAGTCCCCACTACCATGAAACCATATAGCTAGATAGCTGCCTATTCCCACATAAGAATCTGCATTGTGACCCCAATTACACAAAGAATAGAGAACTGTTCACAAGGATGAAAACAGTGTGGAGGGAAGCAATGGGCTCACATGCAGAGAGGCATTTAGATACTTGCTGACCTTACTGCTTTTGCTTCAGGAGAAATGCTGTGATAAGGCTGATGGCTACTTTCATACCAGAATGCTAAACAATTTTCCAATCATAGAGTATAAAAGGTGTGTAGTCCTTTTTCAATAAAACACCAGTTATTCTGATTTATCCCTAGATCCTGTCAGTCTCCTTCTTTTGCTGACTTCATACCTCCTCTTTGGGACCTTCTCCTTCTTTTGTGACTTCATACCTCCTCTTTGGGACCTGCACCCTCATGGAGCTGGAGTCTGGCAAGTTCCTCTTACAGTAAAAAGTTTGTTTCCAGCACCTACATGGCAGCTCACACCTGTAACTTCAAAGTTCCAGGGAACCCAACCACCACTTCTTGCTGAATGGATAGTACCCTTGTACATGGGCAGAAATGCACAGATACCCATACTCATAGGGAAATATACCTTAAAGAGAGACTAGTGGCAGGAGCCATTCATGTGGAAGAACTCTCTTGTCCTCTCATGGCTCGACCCTGGGTCCTCTAGCTGCCTCTGCAGTTAGGTTTTGTGATAGGGCAGGATGCCCAGACCATGTGCCCTTAATTGGATCCCAGGTAGATCAAGGTATGATGAAGGTTTGCACCACCTCCCAAATAGAAGGGCATCTCTATACATATTTGTGTAATTACATACTTGTGAACTATCACATTTTATTTCTTTTGTGTGTATCTGCAAGTGGGTGCACAGATGCCACTTTGCATAGGTGGCAGGCAGAAGATAACTTGAGAATTGGCTCTAACTTTCCACCATGTGTGAAGCAAACTTCGATAAGTAGGGTTGGAAGCAAGCAACATTGCCTGGTCCATTTTTCTGAATCTATACATTGTGAGAAATATGGAAGTATATATTGTGGTAGGTATCTTGAGTTTCATTGGCATATTTATATGTGTAGGGAATGTGTGATTTGTGTTTCTGCATGGTTGCCATCTATGCCTATGTTTGGAAAAGTCTTCCTGGATATTTGTGTTTGTGGGAGTCATGTTGTGAATACACAAGGCTGCCTGTGTGAAGAGCTAGCAAGTCAGGGTGGCCGGGCACTGACAGACCTGGTCAAAATTATCAAGCCCAACTTGAGTGTCTTGGCTCCTGCACCTGTAGTTTCAATTCCTTTCCCTGTCCCAGCCTCTGCCCTGCCCAGTAATGGATCTCCCATGGGTGTGGCTCTGCCCAACTTGCCAATGCCAGCACTGGCTCCAACCGCTATGATGAATGCCCCAATCAACCCTGTCCAAATGCTTCCCCAACTGTCCCCAGACTCCAACCCACATCCAAGTCTCCAACCACACGTAGGCTGTATTCTGGCACCCAGCTTCTAACCCAACCCTTCCTAGCCTCTGTCTTTTGTGCTCACAGCAACAACCCAAAATTCTGCCCCTTCTCTTGTATAACCCTCCTGGGAACCACCCACCTTCCTGTGTCCATAGGTAAATAATTGGCAGCAGGAGAATTGTACTGGGAATAGAAACCTTAACATAACTTGCTTGTTCCTTCAGGGCATTCTCTTTCAAATGACAAATATATCACTTCCATTTGATAAGATTGCTGCTGTGAACTTTCTATTTTGTGACATGTGATATGAAGGGTCAAAAAAACACCCAGGTCATGATGTGAATGCAGGTTAGGTTGTATATAACTTAGTGGCCCATTTTCAAATGTTCAGTTTTCACTAAGGCCCAGTAGTATGCCAATGGCTATTTCTAAAAGCAAGAATATGTGTCTGCAGATGTTTGTAGAGCCCTGCCCCAAGAGCCCAAGGATCTCTTCTTTGATACAACTATAGGGGACCAGGAAAGGCACCTAAAAGAACCCCTATTTGCCACTGGTACATTGCATACCATCGGTATGTCAATCTAAGCAGTATAGATGCGTGTACAGTCGCCTGCACGTCTCGTAGAGCCTTCTCCTGTTCCAGGCCCCACACAAAGCTAGGAGCTTTCTAAGTCACTTGGTATATGGACCAAAATAACACATCCAAGAGAGCAATGTGTTGTCCCCAGAATCCGAACAGGCACACTAAATATTGTGCTTCTTTGTTGGTGGTGGGAGGGGGCAGGTGTAATGACTTGTCCTTCACATTAGAAGAAATATCTCTGCATGCCAGCCATGACTAGACTCTGGTTTCTGCACCATTATTCTCACTCACCTCCTTCTCTGAGGGTCCTCACTCTTTCATCTTCTAGCCAATTTCTTGTCCCTGATCAAGAGCCACTTGTCACCATTGTAGAAATAGAGGGTTCAGGGAGAACTGAGCTGATAAATGAGGCATATTAAAGGCTCATGCTAGTGCCTACTTTATTCAGAGCCCCAGACAATTTATACTCTGAGAGTTAAGAAAGGTTACGTGAGTCAAGTCCTAGTGTTTTCAAATTGTATACAATGACAAAAACAATCCACATGGGACAAACATCATTTTACCATGAAAGCCTAAAAGGTATAGTTTAATTGAATAAAACAAAAAATAATGGAGAATATGAAGTGAACTCACTCCTAACTGCTATGTTGTGAGGAATACAAAAACACATCCCAAGAACAATTCTGTTTTGAAGAAACTTAAATCACAATTGCCTTGTCCTATTTTCTTGAAGTGTACACACAAGCTCCAAAAATTCTCCTCACATGACTTCATCCAGGACAGTGCTCCAATATACACATGAACAAAAGTAATTTTAAGAAAAATTTTGCCAGATAGTGGCAGTGGATTCCTTTAATCCCAGCACTCGGAAGGCAAAGGCAGGTGGATCTCTGTGAGTTGCCAGTCTGGTCTACAGAGCGAATTCTAGGACAGGCTTCAAAGCTAGAGAAACTCCATCAAAAAACACAACGAAACAAACAACACACACAAAAAAGAAACAAACAACAAAAGAGATAAAGAAAAATGCATGAAGAAAGTTCTTTTTAAAATATGGAGTATCTCTCTTCTTTATCTCTCTCTCACAGACACACACACATACACACACGAAGATATATGTGTATGTATATGTATCTATCCGCCTTGAGTCCATTAACATACCTGGTGCCCAAGGAAGGCATACAAGCATATCAGACCTCCTTAACCAGGATTTCCAGCTACCTGATGTGGGTTCTAGAAAACTAACTCGGATGTCCAACAGCAGCAGTGCTGAGACAACTCTCTGGCTCCCAAAAAATGAAGATGCCCTTACCTCTTTATTCCTTCTGCGGTCATCATTTGAAGGTGATGAAAGTCCTTGCTTCTCGTTCAGTGTAGGATTGAGTGGCTTTCCATCCTTTTGTGAATGGACTCTGCACATTGCTTATCTTAATTGTTAACACAATTCTCTTGAAGTCAATGACCCCCCAAAATGACTTGGCTGAGTAGAAGTGAGTCCACATTATGCTATAGAAAGATTCACAATGTGACACATACTTAAAAAAAATGATTCTTCTTTTTTTTATAAGAAAAGGTGTTTTGACTGAGTGTATGTCTGTATGAGGGTGTTAGATATCCTAGAACTGGACTTAAGAGACAGTTGTGAACTTCCATGTGGGTTTGAGAATCGATCCTGGGTCCTGTGGAAATGCAACCATCTTTCCAGATCCCTTCTTTGGATTTTTTGAAAAAAGTTCTCTCTGTAAACCTAAGGCTAGCCTGAAACTCAATATCAGGTAATCAGGTTTAGCAGGAATTACCTTTACTTATAAAATTCTCTGTCATTCCCTTGTGTTTCTGACAATAAGAACAAGTATTTAACTGACACCCACGTTCAGGGGGCCTGGTTTGGTTCTATGCTGGTTCCCCAGCTGTCAGACTGGGGTCTGTGATCTCCCACTTGCTCAGGTCAGCTGTTTCTGTGGGTTTCCCCAGCATGGTCTTGACCCCTTTGCTCATCACTACTCTCTCTCTACAACTGGATTCCAGGAGTTTGGCTCAGTGTTTAGCTGAGGATCTCAGCTTCTGCTTCTATCAGCTACTGGATGAAGGCTCTAGGATGACATTTAAGGTAGTTATCAATCTCATTATAGGGGAAGGCCATTTAAGGTAGCCTCTCCACTATTACTTAGTTGGGGTCATCCTTGTGGATCTCCAGACATTTCCCTAGTGCCAGATTTCTCTTTAAACCTATAATGGCTTCCTCTATTAAGGTATCTCTGGCAGTGGAACCAGTATTTATCCCTAGTGCACAAATGAACTTTGGGAGCCCATTTCCCATGGAGGGATACTCTCTGAGCCTAGATACATGGGGGAGGGCCTGGGCCCTGCCCTAAATGATGTAACACACTGTGATGAGCCCCGATGGAAGGACATACCCTCTCTAGGGAGGGGGGCAGTGGGGGATATGGGAAGATGGAAGGGAGAGGGAACTGGGATTGATATGTAAATAAGATTGTCTCTAATTTAAATTATATATATATGTATGTATGTATTTAGTCCACAAAAATAACATGACCCAAAATTAATGGATGACAGTATAAATACCACTTTCATTCACAAATCATTTTATTATTCAAATTATCATGTGTTTCTGTTATTCTTTGACTATAATGTTTAATAGAAAAAGAGTCAATGTTTTAACTAAGGAGTAGTTCTACTAACCTTAATCAAGCACCATTGAGATGGCTTGGTTGGGGAAAATGTACTTGGACTATAAGGCCTGGCCTCATTTATTAGTTTCATGGGGATTTTCATCAGTGTGAAATTTTTCATGATTTTGAAGGACAATGCAACATGGAAAGACTTTACCACATTGATTACATTCATTGGGTTTTTGTCAAGTATGATTTCTTTCAGGATTGTGAAGATGACTATTCTATACAAAGTCTTTATCACATTGAATACATTCATAGGGTTTGCCTCCATTATGAGTTCTTTCTTTTATTTGAAGGGGACTGTTACATGCAAAGTCTCTACCACATTGATTATATCCATAGGGTTTCTCTCTAGTATGACACCTTTCATGACTCCGAAGATGACTTTTACGTGCAAAAGCTTTACCACATTGGTTACATTCATAAGGTTTCTCTCCAGTATGACATCTTTCATGCCTGTGACGATTACTGCTACATGCAAAAGCTTTACCACATTGATTGCATTCATAGGGTTTCTCCCCAGTATGAATTTTTTCATGAATGAGAAGATGACTCTTCTTTGCAAAGGTTTTACCACATTGCTTACATTCAAAGGCTTTCTCTCCTGTATGGCTTCTTTTATGGATGAGAAAATTCTCCTCCAGTGCAAAGGATTTAGCATGTTGATTACATAGAAAGGGATTCTCTCCAGTATGTCTTCTTTCATGACTGAGAAGATTACTCTTCTGTGCAAAGGCTTTACCACACTGATTACATTCATAGGGTTTCTCTCCAGTATGAATTCTTTCATGACTTCGAAGATTACCCTTCTGTGTAAAGGCTTTACTACATTGATTACATTTATAGGGTTTCTCTCCAGAATGAATTCTTTCATGACTTCGAAGATCACTCTTCTGTGCAAAGGCTTTATCACATTGATTACATTCATAGGGTTTCTCTCCAGTATGAATTCTTTCATGACTTCGAAGATTACCCTTCTGTGTAAAGGCTTTACTACATTGATTACATTTATAGGGTTTCTCTCCAGAATGAATTCTTTCATGACTTCGAAGATCACTCTTCTGTGCAAAGGCTTTATCACATTGATTACATTCATAGGGTTTCTCTCCAGTATGACTTCTTTCATGACTGAGAAGATTGCATTTTTCTGCAAAGGCTTTACCACATTGATTACATTCATAGGGTTTCTCTCCAGTATGAATTCTTTCATGAATGAGAAGCTTATACTTGTGTGCAAATGCTTTACCACAATGATTACATTCATAGGGTTTCTCTCCAGTATGAATCCTTTCATGCCTGTGAAGATGACTCTTCTGTGCAAAGGCTTTACCACATTGATTACATTCATATGGTTTCTCGCCAGTGTGACTTCTTTTATGTATTTGAAGATAACTGGAACATGCAAAGGCTTTATCACATTGAGTACATTCATAGGGTTTCTCTCCAGTAAGAATTCTTTTATATATTTGAAGATAACTGGGACTTGCAAAGGCTTTATCACATTGGTGATATTCATATTTTTTCACTTCAGAATGAATTCTATGTACTTGATAAATATTGTGACTTGCAGAGTCACTTTGATTATATTCATAGGGTTTTTCTTCCAAATGAGTTCTTTCGTATACTTTTAAAAAGGAATCATATCTAAAGGCTTTATCATCTTGATTACATTCAAAGAGATCTTCTTCACTATTGGCTGTTTTGTGTGTTTGAAGATACCCGTGATGGCTAAAGTCCTTAATACAAGGCTCAAGATTATCACTTCCTCTTCCCAAATGAGTTTTTTCACATCTTTGAAAAGAACTGGAAGAACTCAGAGTTTCAGCACAGTGACTGTATGCATAACATTTTCTCATACTATGAGTCACACTACTTGTGCAAAGTGAACCAGTACAGACAGAAGAATTTCCATATTCCGTGTACTCATAAGGTTGTTCTTCAAAGTGGGAGTACAAACTTCTATCATAGTCATCATGTCTGCTTACAGTGGGGACTACAACATATCTTCTAACTGTTCCAGGAAAAACAGAGGTATGATTCTGTCCATTTCCCAGATACTCACATGGGTTGTATCCAGAGTGACAGATGATCTGCCTATTAAAGGAACAATAACAGATAAAAGGTTTCCCTTTACATTCACACAGTCTAACATTTTGTGCCTCAAAGATATGGTATAGATTCAGGGTTCTACAAGATGAAGTCCTGTCTCTCATAAAGTGTTGCTCTCACTGGGGAAAAATCACTCACTACAAGTATATGAGGAACACTAGTTTTAATATGGAAGATTTGTTTATAAAAGATCTTAGAGATACACTAATCCCCTTATCAATTATTGAGGGGCATGGTAATTCTACAACATTAACATCTTATGGCTATTAAAACTGTGACATCTCTTATGGCTTTGTTCCCTTTGCTTATCCTTAAAGGAGTGCTTTCCATACTCCTGACATTGGAGTATATGATGTTGCAAGAATTAAACCATCACATAAATATGCTAATTTGCACTGATACTTTTCTTTAAAATTTCAGGGTACAATAACATGTATTCTAAGGTATGTATCAGCTTGCACATGAAAATTACCTTCCATGTCTTCTAGAACTTTGACAGTGTTCTTCAATATTATCATCTTCCCATTTGTAACCTAAAATACAGTACCAAAAAATGTATTACTGGAAATTAGGAACAATTGAAATCACTATCTTTTGTGAATCTTTAAACAATTCCTGATTTATTCACTAGCTAATACCTCTTTCCCATTCAAAATTACCGAAGAGCAGCAATCTCCCCTTAAGTTAAAAACTGACAGAAAGCTCACATTCCTACCTATAGAAGTGAGGTTCCTGAAGGTTTCCAGCATCACATCTTTGTAGAGACTCTTCTGGGAAGGGTCCAGCAAAGCCCACTCTTCATGAGTGAAGTTCACATGCACATCCTCATAGGTCACTGCATCCTAAATATCCCATATTTTTCATAATAGAAATGGTGAGAATGACTGCATTGCAAAAGTGCACTTCATTGAGAATATATTTACATGATTCTGTGTGCTCAATATATATTATGATTGAGGTCATAAAATACAAAATGCAGTCCCCAACACATTTTAAAGGGAAACAGAAAGGAGACTTATGCCTTCCATTTCTGTGCCCACAAAATATAATAGGGCATTGCAGGAGAAAGGCCTAGTAATATGTACAGAGAGACATGCAAACTGATTAACACTATTTAGTAAACATCAGCAAAATTTTACCAAAATTATTAACTTCAAAAAAGGATAGATAATGTGGGTGTGGTAGTGTCAATCTTTTAATCCCAAACCTCAGGAGGCAAATACATGTGATACTCCGTGATTTCTAAGCCAGCCTGGTCTGTGTAGAGCTTTCCAGAACAGCCAGAGTACATAGTGAGACCCTGTCTCAAACAGACAAACACATAGAAAGCACTCAGAGGCTCACTCTAAAGTCCTCCATAGAGTTAAAACATTCACCCAATTCTGTACTTCTCAATTATAAATGAGAGTGACACCTAATAAACTGGAAGGCTAATAATCCCTAGGAAGGAATGCATTTTTAATAAGTTACTGACAGATCAAAAAGTTCTCAAAAACATTAGTAAATGATGATTGTTAAAAAAAAACAATAAAAATGATGGAGTATATACAGATCCTAGATCAGTTCTCTTCACTTACTTGGGTTTACTATTAGTATCATCAGGTCAACAGAATCCAGTGCTCTCTTCTGACATCAGTAAATACCAGGCAGACAAGCAATAGTCACTTACAACCATCTGTAACTACAACCCTAAGAGATCTGACTCTTTCTGGTCTACATGGGTACCAGGCATACACAGTGTACACTGGCATGTAAGTAGGCAGAACAGTCATACATAGCAAAATTAGAATTAATATCCTAATAAATCAAAGAGAAAAGGGGGTCCGAAGATGTACTTCAGTCGGTAGCATTCTTGCCTAGCATGCATGAATCCCTCAGTTCAATTTCTGTTCCATAAACAGAACAATGATTGGGATGCCTGTAATCACAGCACTTGAGAGGTAAAGGTAGTAAGATCAGAAGTTGAAGGTTATTCTTGGGAACATAGGAAGTTTGAGGGGAGCCTGGGTACCATGCTTTTAGAAACCGAACACAAAAAGAATAATAAAAAAAGAATGTCCCAGGAGAAAGGACAGGAATGGCAACCTGGGTGTGGGAAATGAACTCAGTATTCTACAAGTGTCATATGCACACTTTCCACTGAGCCATCTTCCCAGCCCCTAGAAACTGTTTAAGTACAACATGGCTTCAGTTTCTGAATGTTATTAACAGCAGAAGACAAATATGTCTTGGAAGAGGAAGACTTGAACTTCCTGCATCTGCAACCAAAATATTACGTGACAAATGTGAGCCCTCACACTCTCTTAATTCAATGTACTAATTAAGTCAGACTCTAACATAAAGATATATTGCAAATTCACGAAGGGCAAAAATACAGTGAAAATAACATTTGTTTTAAAATCTTTTAACTGTAGCCAATGGAAAGTCTAGCTACGTAACAGGCATCACCACTTGGTCTCCCATTGGCTTAGAAAAACTCTGCATTGTATTTCTCAACAACACACTGTAGAATTTGCACAGCATGTTCCTGGTGACATCTTTGTCCTATAGTAACAAAATTGTTTTGTGTTTTTGGAGCATGGTCTCAGTCTATGCTCAGGTGTGGCCTCAAGCTAATGGTGATTCTTCTGCCTCAGCTTTTCAAGTGCTGGGACTATGACTGGCTCAAGGAAATTTTCTACAAAAGATCACTAGGTGGCAGACTACTAGCACATCACGCAT